AGGTGTGATTCATTGGGGACATGATGTAAAATCTGCCACCTTCCCTTCTAAATTTGTCACTAGTTTTTGGGTTGCTTGTTTTGGCATAGAAATTTTAAAATTTCCTATCAGATCTGTCCGTCTTTATCTTTTTACAGCTCTGTCTTTGTCATGTTTTTTCCAACCTAAAATTATATATGTGTTCACTTACATTTTTTCTGTTACTTGTATGGTCTCATTAATATTTATTTAAACTTAAGCCATTTGACATTTTATCTATAATAATAAAAGCATAATATGCTAATTAGACCGGACAGCTGAAGGACCTTCCGGACATCCTTCTGGTCGACCTTCTGTATGAAGCCGGGGCTGTGAGGGCCGAGCTCCTTGCATGAATTTTGTGCATCGGGCCTCTAGTTTTCATATAAGATGGGAGGTTAGTATTTAAATGTCCAACGGTCATGTGTCGGCATCATTTGTTCAGTAATCCATCCCTTTCCATTGACTGGAAATGCAACATTCACTGTATACTGAGTTCCCACACTTAGTTCTGTTACTGGACTCATCCGTTTTTAATTACTCTAACTTTATAATTTTTTAAACATCTAGTAAGGGAAATGACTGTTGATAACTTTTTTCCCCCAAAACTTTATTTGTTGTTTCATTTAGTATATTCTTTTAGGTTAGTTTTAGAGTCATTTTTATAAGTTAAAACAAAAAAGATGAAAGAAAAAAGAAATTACATTCCCAACCTGTTGGGGTTTTAATTAGAATTGTGTTAAAGTAACGGATTAACATGGGGAGAAAAAATTAACCCTCTTATAATACAGAGTTTTCCATTATTTTTTCTCACTATATATTCAGATTTTTTTATTTTATCTTTGATAAAGTGCAGTAACATGTCAGGTTCCGTGTTCGATAGGGCACTTTTTAAAAAGTTCTTATAGCTTTAGAAGTTAAAGTTTTTCATTCATTTTTATTGTAAGTTCATCTGTTCTCACTTTTCTGTGTGTTAATTTTACTTGTGCTTGTGTTTTTAAAAGATTTTCCTTCGTTAATTAACTGAATTCCAACATTGGCATTTATATTCCTCAGTTTGCGTAGATTTTGAAATATAATAGATAACAGTTATTGAATATTTATTGCCTAAAGTACTTCACATATTAACCATTTATTTTTTTAAAAATATATTTATTGGTTTTTTACAGAGAGGAAGGGAGAGGGATAGAGAGTTAGAAACATTGATTAGGGAGAAACATCAATCAGCTGCCTCCTGCACGCCCCCTACTGGGGATGTGCCCGCAACCCAGGTACATGCCCTTGACCGGAATCGAACCTGGGACCCTTCAGTCCGCAAGCCGACGCTCTATCCACTGAGCTACACCGGCTAGGGCTCTGGGCCCATGCTTTTAACCAGTAGGCTCCAGGGCCTCTCTAATGGTTAACTGTTAGGAACTGAGGTGTGTATTTGAATTTTTTAAACATTGATGTATGAGCAAATGATTTATTTTTCTTTATGATTTCATCTAGAAAGTTTCTTTATTTTCTTAAAATAATTAGTTTCAAGAACAAAGCCTGTGTAGAATGAACTGACCTCGAATAGGAGCAACATTTCAAAGATAGCAGGGGCAAGGAGACAAGGCTTTATTTTGGGGAAAAAAATGGTTTAATCTTGAAAAAAGAAACAAAATTATGAAAACATTCATGTGAGGGTTGCAACTATGTGTTCGATTCTTGGAATGGCAGAAGAATGAGTCAAGTGTTGGTGGCTTTTTTCCCCCCATAATTTTTCTTAAAAAATTGCAAGATGGCATCAGACTGTATCTTTCCTGGTGCGATGGACTTTTCCAGTATGATCCCCTAGAAAGGCATTTTTTTGCCCAAAGGGTCAGGGCTTCCTTAGTGAAGCCCAGGGCCTTTACGTAGATATTCAGATTATTTTCTTTTGACCTCCTGTTATCTCTTCGTTACCTTCTCCAAGTATTAACTGATTGTTATGTGTTAGGATGTTTTCAGCTGCAAGTATCAGACGTGTGTGTAAATACAAGCATATTTTCTTTCTCTTACATTTTACTGATTTTGAGGGAGAGAGAGAGAGAGAGAGAGAGAGAGAGAAACATCGATGTGAGAAAGATTGATCAATTGCCTCCTGCATGCTCCTCAACCAGGGAGGGAACCCATATCCTGGGTAGGTATCCTGACCAGGAATCGAACCTGGGACCCTCCTGGCGAGGGCTGGTCACTTGATTTTTGAGAAGGGTACCACGGCCATTCATTCAATAGGGGGAAGAATCGTATTTTCAACAAACGGTGCTGGGAGAGCTGGGTATCTCTAGTTCTTTTGAAAGAGAGTTTACAGTAGTGTATTTTTTTCCCTGAGATATGAATGCCTACCTCTACATCTGGGTTTCTCGACCTTGGCACTGTTGAAACTTGGGGCCAGATAATTCTATGTTGGGGGGTTGGGCCTGTGCCTTGTGGGATGTTTAGTATCTCTGGCCTCTGAGCACTAGATGCTAGAAGCTCACCCTTCGCCTTTTCCCCTAAGAGTGACTACTAGGATGCATGGTCAGTGTGTTTAAAACGTTTAAATGTTTTATGTTTAAATGAAAAAAAAAATAATAGTGCTATTTCTCGCTTTTATTACAAAAGACTTATACCTGTTTGTTTCCTTAGATGTTAACCTGGTAACCCAGCTGCAGTTTGTAAACAGTGTTTCAGAAAAGAAAATGTACCCTGAAAAGTCAGTTGATAAAAGCTTTGAGTTGCCAAGACCGGTTTGGCTCAGTGGATGGAGCGTCGGCCTGCGGACTGAAGCGTCCCGGATTAGATTCCGGTCAAGGGCATGTACCTGGGTTGCAGGCACATCCCCGGTGGGAGATGTGCAGGAAGCAGCTGATCGATGTTTCTCTCTCATCGATGTTTCTGACTCTCTATCTCTCTCCCTTCCTCTCTGTAAAAAATCAATAAAATATATTTAAAAAAAAAAAAAAGCTTTGAGTTACTTGAAGATAAAAAACAACAATTTGTGAATTTTTAACATAAGTGAAATGAAAAAGAAACAACTTTAGAAGAAATTGTATTTCATTGTTTTTAAAGATATTTTCATGATGAACTTTTGTGTCCCAAAGGGCTGATCAGTTTTTCTCACTGATCTGAAGGGCCCAGTCCCTGTGAGGATCCAACATATGCCTGGCACAGGGCACGAGTCCCTGGCTATAGATTGCAGCATCTCTGAGACTAATTTTTGAGTAACTAACCTTTGCTCGCACTGGGTACATATTGAGTAGGCTAGCCAATTACATAGGACAACTCTTTTAATATATATATTTTATTGATTTCTTACAGAGAGGAAGGGAGAGGGATAGAGAGTTAGAAACATCGATGAGAGAGAAACATCGATCAGCTGCCTCCTGCACACTCCCTACTGGGGATGTGCCCGCAACCCAGGTACATGCCCTTGACCGGAATCGAACCTGGGACCCTTCAGTCCGCAGGCCGTCGCTCTATCCACTGACCCAAACCGGCTAGGGCGAGGACAACTTTTAACATTCTCTACTTAGGTAAAGAAAGTAAGTAGATAATTTGGAAAATGATAGCGATGGCTTGTTGCTCATGTAAAGACAGGCCAAGGCAAATTGCTAAGGGCTTCATGTGAGTCGTTTCATTTCGTGAATTAGAACAAGCCGTGAGGGTGGGTGCCACCATTGCTATGTTACAGTGGGGGACGGCGATGCTTGGAATGCTTACGCGGCTCGGCTGATCACACGGTTGGTAAATGACAACTGAGGTTCAAATCAAGTCCTGTGTCACCCGGGAGACCTTGGTCTGAGGACTTCATTTGGCCTCTAATTGTTCTACCTTTCAATTCCCGCTTCGCAAATTTCATTTTCCGTCCTCGAGTACTGTCTCAGCTGTCCTCTCAGACTCGGTACAGGAAGTAATGGGAAATGCTGGAGATTTGGGCTGGATTGTATAGGGCAGGGGTGGGCAACCTTTTTGTGAGTGCGTGCCAAAACCAGCGAAATCTCTGACTCACAATTCTTCTGCGTGCCAACCCTAACTTTTTGAGAACATGTTACGCCTACTTGATATCTCTTAAGGTGTACGTATGTGCAGAACTTGGAAGAAATAATAAAATTCAAGCGACAAAAACACAGTCTATGATGATGCAAAATACATTTGTTTTTTAATGTATACATGTACACTGATGGTCCGACAGAAAACTTTATGACTCCGTTTGATATTATCAGTGGGACTTTTGTTGCCGCATCACTGATGACAGAGGTTTCATGTCAGGTTTCTATTTCGTGACCTTCAGAGATATGCACGAGCTACTAGTTTCATCCGTCAGGCTACTCCTACGATGAGACTTAACAGAATTCATCCCTGAGAACAAAGATTCACCATTGTAAATGGGAGATTCTAAGAGAGGGTTTCGCGAGCCAGCAGAAGTGACTGGCGTGCCATGTTTGGCACGCGTGCCAGGGGTTGCCCACCCCTGGTATAGGGCTTGGAATGACAGGTGCATGCATGAGACGTAATGTGCTACATACTTCTACACATTATTCTTCTAACCCTTACAGCTACTCTGCAGGGTAGGTATCCTCATTAATGAATGCCCTCGCTGCTGGAGAATACAAGGCTAGTGAGTGATGGAACGCGGACCTGACCCCAGCATGGTCTCACTTGCATACCTGTAAGTGCTTTCCCCCTGTGTCTTTCCGTCATGTGAACTTTCCTTGGTGGACTCACTTCCCATGTGTGGGCTCTGGGGTCAGCTGTGAGCCTGGCTTATTCGCGAGCACTTGAACCCTGATGTTCTCCACCCTTTGTCTTTAATCCAGAGATGCCAGCCTTCCTATGTTTTATACGTCAGGTACATAGGGAGCTGCGGTTATGGTGATGTACAGATTAATTGAAAAGCCAGTAAATTCGAAGTGCATTTGAATCACATTTTCTCCGACAACATCTATTAAAAGGAGAAATGAATGAATTCAAAAGGGGCCTTCTCGCCTTCCAAAGGGTTGAGAACCACCATTGTAAATGGATTTTCTCTGTAGTTAATCTGTTATGTAGGTGGGGCTGGGCAGCTGTTGTTTCACTTTCTCGAAAGGAAGGAGGAAACCCTCAAACAATAAAAGTATTTAAAACTATTTAAGAATCACTGCAAATGTGTGTTTTTGTTGTTGTTGTTGTTTAGCTGAAGTAGATGTTTATTAAAGAAAAAAAAAAGTTTTGTGAAATGTTAACTAGCTTACCTCTATAGGCAGTCCGTAAAAATAGTTCAAATAAATTTTCAGTGGGAGGAAATTTTAATTGTTAGGAAATTATAGTGCTTGATTTTCAGAAAGGATCAGATTACTTCCTTTTGAAATTAGGAAACGAAAGATGTGTTACACTATGACGTAGGATTGTTTAAAAAAAACCCACACAACTCTTGCAGATGATGCTTTTGAAAGAAATGTGTCCAAAAATCGCATAGCAGTTTGTTTTTTTGTTTTGTTTTTTTTTTTTTTTTTTGCTAGTACATAAAAGGAACATTGAGAGGGAAGGCATCATGGATAATTCAAGTTGTAAATAGGCTGGAATTTGTGCTTTAGCTTTTATAGTCTTAGAATTTATATCCTTTAGGCTTCTGAGGTAGGGAGTTGTCGATGCAAATGTGTTTTTGCATACTTTTCCAGCCTGGATGGGGTTAATTGTGGCCTGGCACATCAAGAAAAGTTGTTCTGTGCTGTTTCAGACTGCAGACTCCTGTTGCTAGGCAACCGACATTGTCAGTCAGTATAGGGTATAGTAAATTGGTATTCTCCGGCCCTTTTCACCACATGCTCATTTTGTAATCCGAGAGAAGTGGTTTCGAGCTATTTTGCAAGGTTTTATTTTAAAATAGGCATTTAAAGATTTTTTTTTTGTGTGTGTTGCTTTTTGTAATTGGTAACACTTTTAAGGGCTGGAAGCCCTTCTGTTCGGTGGTAGAAGGTACGCCAAAATGCTTGTGTTCAAAGAAAGGGTTTCATAGATCTGTTTGCAAGTTGTTTCAGGTTTAGAGCACTAATTTTACTTTGTTATCGGAAGAAGGGCGCCATTGCCAACTTCCAACAAGGAAAGTTTTGTTTGGGAATTCAAGTTCATCGGAACAGCAGAGCTTGACCATTAGCAACCACAAATTATTCTGAAATGTATTTGGAAAAGTGCGGACCCCAGTATCCCTTAATGGATTACAATGATTTTTAAAAATATATATTTTATTGATTTTTTTTTTATAGAGAGGAAGGGAGAGGAATAGAGAGTTAGAAACATCGATGAGAGAGAAACTTCGATTGGCTGCCTCCTGCACATCTCCTACCGGGGATGTGCCCGCAACCAAGGTACATGCCCTTGACCGGAATCGAGA